AATTTTTTAGTAAGAAAAAAGTCAAATTTTATGCCTGGGTATTAATTATTAACTGCAAAAAAATTTTATTTTTCCGGGTAGACCACTACGGCTAGTTTATTTAAAATTTCTTAACAATTTCGCTAAGAGAGAGTGTATTTTAAATAGCGAATTTTTCTATATAATTCTGATAAAAGCCTATCATCCATAATTATTTGAGGTTATTTAAACTCTAAATAATCTTAGATTTATTGTTTTAAGCTGATAAATTTTAATTATGATTTAAAAATAGCGGGTGTCAATAGTAGGTACGTAAAAATTAACATGTGTTTAACTAGCGACAGCCTACAATTTTAAGAAACTTAACCTCTTTAACATATATAGCGGATTTGTTTACATGTTGTCTCGCGTAATTTTATAATAAAAAAAGGATTGTCTGAGCAAAATATTGTTGTTTGCTAGTAAATAATGAATTATATTCGAAGTTTAAATTTCAATTAAACCTGAATAATAGGGTTGACACCTGTCAATAATAGGGTCTATGGGTGTCAATAGTTGGCTCCGATACCATTTCACTCTGTCAATAATACCTACACTAGAGTTGCTGATTTCAAATTAATATATTTGTCATTTAATTAACAACTATTTAAGTATAAAAATTAAAATACACAAGTTGATGAATCAAAAAAAGTGTCTAATACAAAAAAAAAATTAGTCAGATTAATTTGAATACGGTTAAAAAATTCAAATGTTCGCCGTCACTCTTATAGTGTCAATAATAGGGGCTTTTACCTTAGATACATATTTAACGGCTCCTTGTAACTACTCATTCACCTGAACCAGTATTCCACTAGAGATTCCAATATATCTCTTATTCTTTACCCGGAATTGAAATTCGAAATTAGATTTCAATCATACCCAGTTAGACCGCTTGTTTAGAAAGTTTAAAATCAAAATTCTGGGCTAAATACTGAAGATACAGAAAAATCATAAGCAACCTTATTGATCGGAAATTTTATCTTCTATATTTCTTCATCAATTTTCCCGTATCTCTCATCTTCAAGCCAGAATTTAAACTCAAACTGATATCTTTGGTTTGAGTCATTGAAATTCAAAAATTTTGTCAATTTAAGATATTTTCCATCAAAATTAATCAAAGAAATGATAAAAATATTTATTTGAACAAAATTCCGGGTAGACAAAAGAAAATTACTAATTTTTGAAGAGCATTTTAGCTTCAAATAATCTATCATAATTTTTTCAGGATTCAAAGAGGAATTTTACTCGGAAATCGAAGCCAATGACGACTTCCTCTTGCATTCAAACACTAAGAAATTCCTTCAAGACCAAAATATTTCCGTAACAGATATGAAAAGATTCTTCATGGGCAACAAACAAATCAGTTATGACAACGTCAATGAAGTCGTAGATTTAATCAGTGCGACAAATTTTGTGTTCAATATTCACCACATTCTTCAAACTCAACCCCAAATTCCTGGGATTCCCACTTGGGTTTACAAGTTCGATTATTATTCACCGGAAAATTCAATGATGCAGAAAATATTTGGAGTCAATGTTGAAGGTACGATCATTTTTTTTGGCTTCTATAACTAGACCTATAATTTATTTTTGATTTTTTGAATCAGGAACGTCGCATGGTGAAGAATTGTTCTACTTCTTCTACCCGAAAATGTTTGGCCTTCTAGGCATAGAACCGTTTGCTCCCGGTACTAAGGAATATCAAATCCAGCAGTACTTTTTGGAACTTTGGACCACTTTCGCTAAAACTGGGTACTTATCATTTTTATAGAATTATCAAGTGATTATTATTGTTATTATTTATTATTAATGAGATAAATTTTGCAGAAACCCAAATCCCAAAACTTCAGAACTAATTTCCGTAGATTGGGAGCCTGTCGACAATTCAACGGAATTCAAATGTTTGAAAATATCCCAAGATCTCAAGCTAATTAAGGAACATAATTTATTGCATCGATTAATTAAAAATATAAAAAATAAACTGTAATTTATATTGTATTTACTTGACAAGAAATTAATGGAATTGATACTGAAAAGAAAGATAAAAAATATTGATTTATAATTAATGTGTTTTTTTTTTGTTAAGTACCTCTACCCACAATCAATAATTTGATAGATTAATGACAAGTAATTTAGCGGTTAAATAATTGAAACAGGTATTTTAAGTTCAATATTGTTCCAATTAAAATTTTGAGAAACTCTTGAATTAATTTGAACTAGATATTTCGAAGCAAGAGTCAAATTTTTTTGAATAAAATATTTTTTTTAGCACTGATTAAAAAATTAATCCAAGAAAAAAAAACTCTTGAATGAAGAGCATCACTTTTGACCTTACTGAAAAAAAAAAAGAAATTCTCATAGAAAAGCTTTTCTCAGTAGAGAAACATTTGATTACGTTGAAATTGTTTTTGGCTCACATAAATTTTTTTTTTCCATTTAAGTTAATTTTTTTCAGTGTATATTACTTCTGTTATTCTACACTATATCAATAATAAATTATATCAATAATAATAATAATAATAATAATAATAAGTAATTTGTCGGTCTAACAGATAAGATATCATACGCTTTAAATAATAACTAAATCATAGTTTATTTTTATAACTAATTTCAATGTTTCAACGCTTACAAACCTCTAATACGTTAATTTTTAGTTGATTTTTTTTTTTTTTAATTAGCACAATTAGTACATTCAATGTTTTTGTAGGCGTCGTTATGAAAAAACCTTGTTGATGCTGGTATTTAAGCATCTAAAATCACCGTCAAGACTTCAGTAAAGTTGGCGTTAGTTTTTGTTTACCAATCGAATTTCTGTTCCAAATAATCATGAGCATAATGGAACTGTCGCCGTACTTGAAAGCGATCCAGGAAGTTTCTGGATCAACACCAGGAGAGAAGTATCGCGCAATAAACAGGATCGCTTTCAAGCTGCTATCTTCAAGGAACATCAAGAGATCCTTGAAGAACTTGGACTTTCCGGAAGTTTTGAAGCTTTTGGTTGAAGTGGAAATCGCGCGGAAGCTCCGACAGCCTGACATGATCCTCGAAGCGCTAAAATCCAAGAACTGGGAAGTTGTGATGCGTGCAGTGAAAGCCAGCTGGTTCTTCAACGGCGGCAACAAGATGACATCAGTAGGATTCTACCAGACCCAGATCTTCCTGCTTGTTTCAGTAAAAAACCGGAGAATGATCATTAAAGCCTTGGCTGATAACCTGGCAGAAGAGCCAGAGCTTGCTGATAATTTTTACGATCTAGTCACCCTGATGTGCGGAGAAAAGCAGGCCAAACCTTTGTTGAAGGTCTGCAGCGAGTCCTTCATCTGGAACCGCATCAAGAATTTCAAGTTCAACTACACTGTTGTTCACTTCTTGTACTACAAGTACCCGGAAATGGTCATCAAGTACTTGAGGTTGAGCAAGAGCGACCCAGAGAACTTCAACTTCACCAGCTTTGCAAGATTTCTTCCAAGATTGCTGTTGAAGCATCCGGAAGTTTTTGAAGAGTTGATTGAAAAAAGTGATGATGCTCCTATGCTTAGTGCGAGACACACAGGTTTGTTTTTGAAGCACTGTCTCGATGCTTTTTTGAAGAATCCTCATAAGTTTTTGCAAATTCTCGCGCCTAAAGTTTTGGAGAGAAAGCTCACGGAAGAACAACGCGAAAGTGTCTTCAAAATTTTGGTGGTTCAAGAAATTGCGAAGTTCGAAAATGCTTTCATTGGAAAGTTCAAATTCCTAGATGATGGAAAGAAGCTCTCTATATTGATGTCAGCGTACAAAGAAAAGCACAATGTTGATTTTCTGGACTGCCATGAAAAGATCACACCCAAGATTATGAGAATCCTGCCTAAGGAGGATAGAATCAAGATAGCGAAGGCCAAATTTGAAGAGAAGACTTCTCCAGGTGACGAACTTAACATCAGCTACAAAAAATCTTGGATCGCTTATCTGGATTGCAGCGAATCGTTGCAATTCTTCAAATCTGAAATGGAGATTATCGAAGCGTCTATGCGTTTCGAAGTCATCAAGCGTATGATTTACTCCTGTGCGGTTAACAACGACAGTGACTCATTGCTGGATGTTCTGAAGTACATCCAGAAGAAGTTTGACTGCGAACAGCACGAATTCTGGGCTAACATTCTGAGGTTCTTGAGGAGATACACTTGTTCGATGAATATTTCTCAAGACCACTGAGCGATCATCAGCGAGTTCCTGATGAAGATCATTGAAGACGAAAAGAAGTGCGATGACCTTTTCATCCAAGAATTGATGGCCGAGAAGGTTCGCCTTGACATAACCAATCTGGACCACGAAATTTCTCCATTCTTGAAGTACATGTTCAAACACTACAGGAGCAATTTGTTGAAACTAGTACCGTCTCTTGCAAAGATTAGCTTGGAGAAACTGATCAACGAAATCCCTTCGACATACAATGACGTCAATGACATCTCCATTGAGCAGGTGACTGATATGGTTCAAATGATTGGCGAATTCAACGCTCACATTTCGGGATCTTGTGCTAGAGTTTCAGTGAAGGATTTCCCCTGGTTGGCAGCTTGCGTCAAGAAGTTCTTGAATGACAGGTACGGATTGTGGAAGAACATCAAGGGTCTGTCGTTGGCACTCAGGGACACTGAAAGGAGTCTCTATGAAGCTTACGTTCCTGAGCTGCACTGGTACATTGACATTAAAAGTCCTGATGCTTTGAGGACTCTTAAAAAAGATCCGAAACTGGTGAAGCGGAACTGGAAGGCTTATTGGAACAAGTGTCTTGGATACGTCAGCAAGAAGGTTGTCAAGAGGTTTATTAGGAACCTTCGTTGGTATCAGGACTTGCCAATCATGTTCGCAGAGAAGAGTTTGCATGATATGAAGAATCAGGTGCGGGGGATTGTTATTCTGGGGCTTTTGCTGGAAGGTCCAGCTTTTGAGCGGCTTGTAGGGTCAGAAGGTGGAAAAATTTGCAAACCTTACATGCCTCAAGCAGTTTCGTGTGTAAGACCTCCAGTTTCTTTGGAATTCACGCTTAAATACTGGGAAGAAGGGCAGGTTAACATGGGAGAGTCTTTGGTTACGATTGGCGACAAGACCTCTGTTGCTATGTCGCTCATGAGTCGCGATTTGCCGGTAAAGAAATTTGCCGTTAAATTGTACTGTCTCGCGTTTTCGCTGGATTGTACCAACTAGTTTAATTTTTGTTCTTATTTATTGATTTTATTGTAAGCTTTGTAATGTATGAATAAAGATATTGAAAAAAATGAATTTTTGAGTTTACTTACGTGAAGGATCGAACCCCGTGACGAAGCCAGGACATGGTAAGATTTCTTGTTTACCGGCTGGAGTATTAGGCCAACAGAGCCAGCCATCGAATGTTCCGGGGCAGAAAGGCTCTGCAATGATAAATTAATATAAAATTAAGTAAAGTTTAGAATTTTAGTGGCTATTGTAAAACTGACAATAGATCTTAATCGAATTCTGGTTACAGATGAGGTTAATCATGCTTCGAAGTTATAATTGCGAGATTTAAGCTTCGTATATTGCTGTATACTCGTGCTCCAGGCGGTAGCGTGACTAGAATTTTCCTTCCCACACTCGACGTTTTCAAAGGCTCATCAAATATCTGGGATTAGTCGGATGAATAATCACGTTTTATATTATTAATAAACATATTTATGTTCAATTTGTAATCTACGTAAACTCTAAACACCTCATTGAATTTCTGTTATTGAATGAATTGATATTCATGGAACATTCTGGGTGAACTTTTCGAAATCGAATTTTCTGTTTAGAAAAAAAAATTGAGGATGGAGTTTTTGTGTTTTTTAGAAAAATTATTACGAATACATTTTCAAACTTTTGAATATAGTTTAGAAATTTTGAAGTTGAAATTGTGGGTTAAGTATTGAAGATATGAAATTGAACTATAACTTTTTTGTAAGAAATTTAATTCTCTACAGAATAGTCCTTATCAATTTTTTCGTATTTCTTATTGTTTAACTAAAATTTAAATCTAAAATTTTTTTGTCAGATTTTTATTATACTCCGATAGCTAAGTAGCATTCTAGATTTCATTTTTATAAATATACTAGTTGTTTCCCGCCTGCTTCGCTGAGCGCTTTATAGAATTGCATTTTTAGATCTAGACTTGAAATTTAATTGGAGTATTATTTTGATTTGCACAGATTCCAAATGAGCATTGAAAGTTTTAGTTAAAGTCATTGCAAGTCTCATAAGTCAAGTTGAAATCTGTCTAGCTTCAAGTGCCAACAATTTTTCTGTTATTTAAAATTTTCTCAGTGACATCAATTTTTTATAGAAAATAAATTTAACATGTTTTTTACGAATTCTATTTAAATAAGTAGCCAAATTTATTTTTCACATATCTAGTAATTGGAAAATGCATTCATTTTTATCTGTTACATTCCCGCGATCCCGCAATAAGAACAATTTATAAGTTATGTAATCAGCAAAAATAACATGTATGTAAAATTGTTAGTCTGTTGACTGAATTGCTACATGTAATGTTAAGTTTTGAAAACCTTACAATGACTTTTTTCCCGCTGCTAAAGAGACGTTTGTTGTAAGGAAATTTTTAGTAAATGTTATTGAAACTCAATAGACATGGCCTAAATTTCATGTTTCAAAAAGTCCTAGTTTATAAACAACAACATTTTTAGTAGACTTCATAGAAATCTAACTATTTTATTTCATGTAACCAATTATCATAACCAAACACACGGTCAGCATATAAATATAAATTTTCAGCACTTAGTTCACCAGACATAATTAGCTTCTTTCTTAAACTTTTTTTAAATGACGTTAAATCAATAAAATATTAAGGTTAGGTAATAAAAACAAAAGAAAATCGTACTAAAAACAAATGAATGAAAAATGAGAGTCTTTTGTGTTTATTGGCGGGAAAAAATGTATGTAAAAGTAAATCGTAAAAAAAATGAGAAAGGGTTGATAAAATCCAAAAAGTAAGTATATAACCATCTACGAAAAATTCTGCGTCGAATGGTAGCAGTCTCATCCCGATAGCTTCAGTAGTTTTGACGTCAACTTTAGTCAAACGAACCCTATTTTGCTTATATATATATATATATATAATAAGTTGATACAGAATTAATTCTAACTGAAAATAGTCATTTTCAAACACATGTCCCAATTCCTGACAAGGATGTCCCAATTATTGTACCAGCTAAAAATTTGTGAAATTCTTAAATTAAATCTTTCGAATGAATATAAATAATATAGATGATATATTTTTTTATATTTAATAAAATATAAAGGGAAGGGTTGATAAAAATCCAAAAAATAAGTAGCCTATAACCATCTACGAAAAATTCTGCGTCGAATGGTAGCAGTCTCATCCCGATAGCTTCAGTAGTTTTGACGTCAACTTTAGTCAAACGAACCCTATTTTGCTTATATATATATATATATATATATAAATAAGTTGATACAGAATTAATTCTAACTGAAAATAGTCATTTTCAAACACATGTCCCAATTCCTGACAAGGATGTCCCAATTATTGTACCAGCTAAAAATTTGTGAAATTCTTAAATTAAATCTTTCGAATGAATATAAATAATATAGATGATATATTTTTTTATATTTAATAAAATATAAAGGGAAGGGTTGATAAAAATCCAAAAAATAAGTAGCCTATAACCATCTACGAAAAATTCTGCGTCGAATGGTAGCAGTGCTATCCCGATAGCTTCAGTAGTTTTGACGTCAATTTTAGTCAAAGGAACCCTATTTTGCCTATATATATCGATTATTTATTTTATTAAATTACAATAGATGATTATTATCAGAAATTGAATAATAAATTTTACTGTAGACAGTATCATTTCGATTTTAATAAAAATGATACTGGTTACTATTTCCATCTAATAAACCAGTCAATCAAATGTATGCAAATCAGCTAATCCAAAGTCGTGAGCGGTATAAATTTAATCATGAGTTCAATCTGACATGACAACTCTACTCGAGTGTCCAGGGGATGGCTCTATACTCCATACTGAATGAACTTCGTCCCTAACCTCTCATTTCCCGTCGAAAAGTACGTCAATCAGAACTGGAATGAAAATTTTTTATCTATCATTTAGAAGGGGAAGGGAAAACCGAAATAAAAGTCGATGTTTGTGACCATGACTAAAGGAAGCCTTATCTCGCATTCATGCCTTTTCCTATTCTCCCTTTCGCATCATGTGACGTCCCAATGTAAAAGTATCGGACAAATGTCTGAATCATCGTATTGACATATTAACGAAAAGAGGACAAACTCGGTAAAAATAATTTAAACTGTGTCTATTCATTCAAACTTACTTTTTCCTTTTTTTACGTCTCTAAATAGAAGTTGATGCTTTTTTAACACCTTGTTATCGCTCGATAAAAGCTGAAAGATTTAAACGATAAAACGGTGATATTCAAGTCACGGAATGTAACTGATGACCTTTTCGAAAAGGTCATTAAGCAGAGATACTTGGTCTGCTTTTGTATCATTTGCGCTCAGCGTGAAATTCAATGATTGACAGAACAATCACATTTAATCTTAAAAGCTTAAGATTTTTTTTTAGTTCATTCATGAAATTTTTAGAGTTCAAATTATGGCTTGAAGGTGAGAGATACGGAAAAACTGATAAGGATCTTTTTGATAGATAATTTAATTTTCTACAAAGAAGATTTCTTATCATTTTTCGTATTTCCAATATTTAGTCGAGAATTTTCATTTAAAAATTTTTCTAATTCATTGTAATTTATTATTAAAAGTTTATATTTTACTAATTTGTAAAAAAAATCAATTTTTCTCATACATTTATTTACTTCCGGTGAATCAATTTCATTAAAAAACTTGATAAGCCTATAAATGAATTTTTATAAAAATTAGTTCCAAAAATATCCGGCAGGTGGCGTATGGTCGTCAAATTTTCTCGCTATCAGAGCGTTAATTTTTTTAATATAAGGAAAAAACTAAAATTTTTTTTTACTATTTTAAAGAGCCTGTTCATTCTAATTCATTATTAAAAGTTTATAATTTACTAATTTGTAAAGAAAATTTTTTTAATCAATAAGGAAATCGATTATTTCTCTCTTACGGAAAAATTGATAAGGACCTTTTTGATAGAAAATTTTCTACAAAAAAACTTTCTTATTATTTTTTCGTTTCTCTTATATTAATCTCAAAATTTTGATTTTAATTTTCTTTAACATGGAGTATAATTAAAGACACAATTTAATTTCAGTTTTAAAAAAAATTTTAGAGAAATAATAAAAGATTCATTACTACAAAAAATGAGCTCCGATATGACTATTAAATACTAACAACTAAAAAATACTCTTACGACAAAATTTATCAAAGGAAATTAAAAAAAACACGCGATGATAATTAAAAATCTATTAAAAACAGATGCACTCTTAATCTTCAAGGTTCTCGCAATTGTAAATTGCGATAAACATTGTATTGATTTAACAACATCAAGCATTTGATTTGTCATGACAAGCTATTAAACACTGCAATTGATATCTACAATGAGCATGATATGAGAGCAGTTGCACAGGCGAATCATCGCTCTCCATAATACGCAACTATAACAATCAGAATAAAACTTTTGTAGTGACTCGTATCATCTATGCACCAGCAAACGTTACTATTAACATTCGCTCTGAGATATCCGTACCGGTTATGCGACAAATCGGTCTATTTTAAGATCAATGTCATATAACATTACAACGATAAGTAATAATTAATCACCGTAATTAGTTATTTCATTCCATAACGGTGTACTTATCATAATTTGTGTTTTTTTATCGTCTGGCCATGGAGATTAAGTATTTATTGTGTCTGTATCTCAGTTTTTTAATTGTTCTTGACCAATGTCACGGGCACAGAATTTTGGGAATCTTTCCCATGAACGGAAAGAGCCATATGGTGATGTTCGAACAAGTAATGAAGGGGTTGGCTCGTCGTGGTCATCAGGTTGATGTTGTCAGCACTTTTCCGCTAGAGAAACTTTTTCCTAATTATAAAGACTTGGCTATAAAAGCTGCACTGCCAAAGTTTGTCAATAACATGACCTATGACTTCTTTCAAGATGTAACACAGAAGACTAACATCGTTCAGTTTTTGGCTGAAAATGCGGGAAATATTATTTGTGAAAAGGGATTTGAAACTGATGTTCTCCGGAATATTATTTATAAGCCGCAGAAGCCGGCTTATGATCTTGTGATTACTGAGGTAAGTTTTGGAATTTGCCGAATAAATAGTTTACCCATTATTCTCCAGCAGCATGAAGAGTTAAGTACAGAGTAGCGGCAGTTCCGTCTAGATATGCACTTTCCATCTATCTTTATGCGTTTCCCGGGAACCTAAAGCGCCAAACAGGAAAGTGATGGGACAATAATAATATTCTTTCGCATAGTTCAGCGCTACCTTTTTTTTCTAATCGATAACTTTTAAATATTCTTATTGAGTGAAAAAAAACTAGTTGATTCAAAAGAAATGTTCTTTAGAAAATTTTTTAATTGTTTGGAAATATTTAGAGAGAATTAATTCAAGAATTTATCGAATTTTTTGTTAGTACAATCATTGGGACACCTTTGTCAGGAATTGGGACGGGGGCCTGAAAATAACTATTGGGAGTAAAAATTAGTTATTCTGTGATAAAAGCTTCTCAGGCTGGGTTAAACCCACTTTTGGGCGCCATTTCGGTGGCAGTACCAAGATCGTAATCGAAAAAGTTTAAAGTCACTTTTTAATATTATTGGGTACTTATACTTGCACTGAAAAAAACTACTTGGTTCAAGAAAAATTTTATCGGGAAAGACTCTTGCTTCGAGGTATTTAGGAAGAATTATGTCAACAATTTACGGATAGAATCAAAAAAATAAAACAAGAGAAAGAGAAACATTTACACATTTAAGAATTTTATTTATTTTACTAACCACGAATATTATTTTCAAACAAGATGACCTATATTTCACTCAACAATCTTTATCTGCAGTGAAATTCATTGAGCATATTAAATTTTTGTTCCGGTCTTTATATATACTCTGGTAAGATTTTTCTACAAGCGAGAAGGCGTAGCCACCTAGTGGTGAAACCAAGAACTAACTTCTAACAATAAGTTCTAGTTAATGTCACATTATTTAGATAAAGTTAAAATAACTAAGCTAGAATCAAAAAAATCAAATAAGAAGAAGAGAAAAATTTACATATTTAGAAATTTTATCGATTTTACCAACCACGAATACTATTTTAAACAAAATGATTTAAATTTCATCCGAAAATCTTAAAATAGAAAATTTGGAATCTAAGCTCTGTCTAAAATCATTCTTATTGATTGTAATAAGTTGATTCATTATTCAAACTTTAAATTGTTTGCATTGTTCAATAAGTTATAATCTTAACATTGTCAATTTATCTAAGATCTGTTTATATTTTTATATGTACTTTTTACTTTATTTGCCATCCGGCAATTTCCTTGACATTTAAATTAAATAAATAAATAATATATGGGAGATAAAAAAAATTTATAAGTAATTTTTTTTCTAGAAAATTTCATCTTCTAAAAATAAGGTCATTATAAATTTTTTCCTACTTCGAATAGTTAGCTCATAATTTTGATTTCAATTCTTCCACTTTTAAATTTTGTCGAATCTTCACAATTGAAATTTTATAAAATTCTGAACAATTTTTATAAAAATCATCCTCGACTACAAAAGTCTTAAAAACCAAAAATGAATAATTAAAATTCCGAACAATTATATACAATTTAACGACTCAAGTTTTTCAACTATAAAAGATGACTAGCAACATAATATAAAAGTTCAAATGTTAAATACAATGTCTCAATAGTTGCATATCGTTAATATAATCCCCTTGTTAGAGCGTCATTACATATAAACTACACTTAGACTCTACAATTACCCATATAATAATAGATCCTTTATATTTAAATTCTCTCATTATACAATATTATACCAAGTGCATAAAAAATGAGCGGTCATTCATATTTCTCTATCAAGTGAAACTTGGCCAGTGGATTACTTCAAGATCAATGTTATCACTCGCGAAACTAGATAAAATGAAGGACACGAAACTGATATCACTTGCAATTACGTTTATATTTATATCAAGTATAAGCACGAGTTACGGGCGTCCATACCGGGTCTTGGGGATATTTCCCTTGAACAGTAGAAGTCACTTTGTGTTTTTCGAACAACTGTCCAAGGGACTGGCTCGTCGAGGGCACAAAGTTGATGTCATCAGTACTTTTCCCCAGAAAATAGCTTGTCCCAACTACACTGACATTGAGATACCCGCAGCGATACCCAAGCTGGTTAACAGTTTGACTTACGAATTCGCTCAGGAAAATTTAAATGTCAACAGTGACCAGGTTCATTTCTTCGCTCAGATTCCTGGGAATGTGGTTTGTGAAAAGGGATTTCAAAATCAGGCTGTGCTTGACTTGATTGAAAAGCCGTCGGGAGATAAAGCGTATGATCTTGTTATTACTGAGGTGAGTTGTTTTTTCATCTTTGAAGAATTTTTTTAAAGTAGTTCTTTCCCAATCTATAATTTATTAACAACTTCGCGGTTTTCTTTCTCTGTTCCCATACCACCTGTGTAAAAATGTCATTTTCAATTGCAATTATCTCTGGATGGAAGTGGTAAATCGTCTCCAAATTTTAACAGCATGTGCAATATGCATTTAATTACTTATATTATAAATTTGGAAGGTTCCTTGAAATTTTGCTCGCATGACCCAATTACCTTAAGTTAGAAATTAATTATTTTTTTTTTTAATCTTAAAATTTTGGGCTAAATACTCAAAATACGGAAAAATTGTATGATATCTTTTTTGTAGGAAACTAGAATTTAAATTTGCGCACGCAAGCGCATAGAGTTTGCATATAGTTTCATGCTTATGATATATTCGACCAATCACATCACGAATAAATTCGTTTCACATACATTTCATCTCTATTTTAAAATTAAGATTCGATTATCAAAAAGGTCTTTATCGATTTCCCTCTATCTAAAATTTTTGAGAATTTTGTTTTTTTTTACAAAATTAGTTCTTGGTTTCACCGCTAGGTGGCCAGCGGCTCTCGCTTTTGAAAAAATTCATACCAGAGTATTTAAGTCCTATGAAGATATGTTAATTTATTATATATCGGCTCTATAAAAAATTTTTTAGGAGTCACCTAAGATTTTTAAAAATTTAAAATGTCCAAAACTGAATTTTTAATATTTTTTATCGTCAGTCTATATTGTAAGTTAAAAAAATTAGTCTTTTTGCGGCGCCCTTATCTATATTCTAGTAAAATTTTTCTAGAAGCGAGAGCCGTGGGCCACCTAACGGTGAAATCAAGAACTAATTTTTAAAAAATTATTAAGAATGAAGTAAAAAATTTTTAATGGTTTTCTAATCATTAAAAAGTATTGAGCGACCTCTAAAATTTTTTTCGGACCCTTAAGGAGATCCAAGTACCTCCTTAATGTAAAGAATATCTATAAAAAAATAATACGTAGAAATACTTTTGTTATGCACCTTAAAATTAATGATATTATTGATAGAAAAAAAAAAAAAATTGCCGGAACCCGGGATTGAACCGGGGACATTTAGATCTTCAGTCTAACGCTCTCCCATCTGAGCTATTCCGGCGCCATATTGGAAAAGATCTTCATAATCATCATAAGAAAAAAATTCTCTGAACTTAGTTTGTATGTGGCACAACTGTCTAAATTGATGACAATTTATTGACACGAAAGATTAATACTTATATATTTATCTTCTCATGCCTAATCTTTATATGACAATCCGCTGATAATTTGTTATGTCACCAGGTTACTCTGGTTCGTTGCCACTACCAAATAGCCAGTCGATGAATAAAATTAATCGCGAGTGCTAGTGGTCTAATCGAAAAATGTCTTACAAACTTTTTCTCGCTTTGATTTTAACTATTATTTTGGAAAGCAACGGCTCCCGTATTTTGGGAATATTTCCCATGTATGGTAAAAGTCACATGATGTTCTTCGAGAGCCTGTTCAAAGGACTAGCTCGTCAAGGTCATCAAGTTGACATTGTCAGCAATTTTCCTCTTCATAAGCCGTATCCAAATTACACTGATTTAGAGATACCTCCGTTGTCACCAAATTTGGTCAATGGAATGACTCTTGATTTTATGGAAAAATCGTTTCAAGAGATTAACATGGTTTACTACATGGCTGGAGATCTGGGAAATAAAATTTGTCAAAAAGGATTTGAAACTCCAGTGTTGCAAAATTTAATTAAGACTCAGCATAGTCCGGCGTATGATCTTGTGATTGTGGAGGTAAGTTCTTTTTAATGTAACAGGTGTTGCATTTTCTGGTTTTTGTTTCATTTTTAGTGAAATTATATGAAATTGTATTTTGATACATAATTTTTGGTGTAAGCATCAAAATTTTCGTTTGTTTTGGATATTAGTCGATTTTGTTAGAAATTGAACTCTTGAATTTAGTCTTATTACGGAAGTCAAAGAGATGAGAAAAAATTTCATGTCAAATTGAACAGATTGAAAATTTTTGGTAACTAACAAAAAGTCATTCTTGACAAATTTTTAGCTTTTTTTGATTATCTGTTTAAAAGACAAATTTTTAAATATTGCTTTTTTTCAGTTTCTGGTTCATTACTTCTTAAAAAATGATCCAAATTGAAATTTCTTTCAAATGTTTTATTGGTCTACTTTTCAGAAAAAAACAATCATTCAAAATGTTTTCGTATGTGATTTTTAAATTTTGAAATTAAATTTCACTTCTCAAAATGTCAGCCTAATTTTGAAACATTACATAAATGTTGCTTAAGTAAGTTTCAGGTTACAATCATAACTTTTGGTTTTGCAATAATTTCAACCTCTTCAATTATAATTTGAACTTAACGAACAAGGCTAAAAATTTAGTGTCTTAAATATCCGCGATGATATAAAAGAAAAAATATTTTTTTTTTCTTCAAAAAACGATGAGAGATTCTTTTACATAATTTTTTGTAGTTTTTGAAATCACCTTTAATTTTTTATTTTTGCGATAATTAATTGCTAAAATATTGATGTTTGGGTATTTTGTTACCAAAAATTCACTACGACCATTTTTAGCCACGATTTTAATGATTTTTAATAAATCAATTCAAGAAGTATTGACGGAAAAATACTCTATTATTCATAACCTTGACTCGTTATGACCTATCCATTAGATAATCTATCATAACATTGATATCTTACAAACTCATTAAAATGATGCATCTAATCTCCATAAGTTTAGTCTCACGGTAATCATCCGATCAATCTAGTAATCAGAATTATGAATCTGAAACCGCTAATTTTGTTAATTTCGACCTTAACCGTGTGTGACGGCTACCGAATTTTGGGAATTTTTCCCCTAGTTGCAAGAAGTCACATGATGTTCTTTGAGCAAACAATGAAGGGACTAGCTCGTCGCGGACATCAAGTTGACGTCATTAGTGTCTTTCCTCAGAAGCATCCCTATCCCAATTATACTGATTTGGAAATTCCTCCAATCTCACCGAAATTGGTCAACAACATGACTTTTGATTTTGTTAAGACTTTCTTTGAAGACGTCAATATTGTTTACTACGTCTCTGATACTTTTGGAAACGGGGTTTGTGAAAAAGGATTTAAAAATCCGGTTGTGCAGAAGTTGATCAGAAATACTTCCAATCCGCCTTATGATTTGGTCATCGTTGAGGTGAGTCTTGATATTAATTTTTGCTTCGGACGAAATTTTTGGAAGACTGGTTGATAATTTATGTAATTAAGAGAATAAAACAATTTTATCTTCAGGATATTAATATGATAAGAAGCGCGATTTAACGATGAAACTTGATGAGTGGCAATTTATGCTATGAACAGGTTGGCGCAAAGAGCAGAAAGTGTGCTTCAAAACACTAGCGCGAAAAATTTTATGCCCTTAGTTGATACAAAAATAGTTTATATAATTAACCTTTCAGAATATACGTTCTCCGTAGTCATTACTATCGTGATGAGAAAAACTCTCACATTTCTCTGAAGCAACTAACAGCAAAATTATATGAGGCATTCCACGCCAAATCGGCCACTTTTTACCCTGAAACTTTTCGATCCTCTTCTCTATAAAAAACGGTTTTCAGAATTTTTTCAAAAAATTTGAGGATTTGCAGAAAATGCCAAAGTTTCATATGTTAAAAAAAAAATTCAAAAATGATAATCATCGAGAAATTTTTTATTTTTTCCGAAAATCTAAAAAATAATGGTTAAGATAGGTTCGAAAAATTTTTTTGGATTTTTTTTCAAAAAGTACATTTGAAGACAAAAATTTTGAAAAATAACAACGTGTGTTGTAAAAATAAATCTTGTGATAGCAATAGTATTTTCAAAATTTATTTTAAAAGTACCCAAACTATGTAAATTGTGATTAAGAATATCAAATCATCATAAAGCCAAAGTTTTTCTATCCTCAATTCATAATTCTCGGTAATCACATAGTCACTGCATGTTGATAGTAAATTAATAACACTGATCCTAACACCAATAAATGCAAAATAATCTCATGCATGACTTGCAACATGAATCGGGATGACTTGAATAATAACTTTTATTAGATTAAAATCTATATAAACTATTAACAATATCTGAAAGATCATTAATTCGTTAGTCGCGAAAATGAAAGTGGTGATATCATTTATCGCGGTAATTTTGTTTAAAATTGCGGGATGTCATGGCTTACGCATTTTGGGAATTTTCCCATTGAATGCGAGAAGTCACATGATGTTCCACGAACAAACGATGAAGGGACTGGCCCGCCGTGGTCATCAGGTCGATGTTGTCAGCACTTTTCCTCAGAAAAAGCCCTATTCAAATTACACCGATTTGGAAATTCCTTCGGCACTGCCTAAATTTGTCAATAACTTGACCTACGACTTTGCGAAGGCCAAATTGGAGAATAATTTGGTGTATTTTAGTGCGCATGAAGGCGGAAACATTCTTTGTGACAAGGGGTTGAGAAATTTGAACCTTTTGAATATTGTGCACAACACACAAGATCCGCCGTATGACCTTGTGGTCATTGAGGTGAGTTTTAAAAATGTGACTTATTTTTGATGCATTAATTGGTTTTGAGCGAAAAAATTTTTAGTTCCACGATCTTCAATCAGGGAGTGCAATTTTGGGAAGGGTATTTTGGTTTTTGATTGGTGGATATAACTGGAGTTGGGGAAAAATTAGTAGATAGATTAAAGTATTACTAGTGTTTTTAAAAATTTAAGAATTAGAAAAAAATATGACCTATTCCTGCTAACACTGGCATCAGTAATATTCTACTTAATTCCAAAATATAAAAATCGTGATTCGAACTATGAATATTCTACTACGCTGATAAAACGACTTTCCATATCGCGCAATGCATAGTCAAGTACTGCGATAAGAAGTCAATGATCAAAAACATGACATTAGTTTGCACGGCATTACCAGTAGTGATTACCAGTTCGAAAATCATGAAGAATCTGTTAATAATCCTTACAATCTTGGCAAACTGTCATGGCTACCGAATTTTGGGAATTTTCCCCTGGAATAGCCGTAGTCACATGATGTTCCACGAGCAAACGATGAAAGGACTGGCTCGTCGAGGGCATCAGGTTGACGTAGTCAGTATTTTTCCTCAGAAAAAGCCCTATCCAAATTACACCGACATAGACATACCTTCCGCTACACCTGAGTGGACCAATACGGCAACTTATGGACTCATGCTAGAAATCATGCGGTCTGGTATAATTCATGTTCTAGCCACTGTGTTCGGAAACTTTTATTGTGAAAAGGGCTTGGAAAATCCCAAAGTTAGAGCGCTAATTGAAAACACGAACAATGTTTCATATGATCTGGTTATTGTTGAGGTGAGTTTTTATTTGAGTTTTTAGGCGGTTTGGCAAAGGTTTGATAAAAGCCCCTGTTATTGACAGGGCCCCCACTATTGACACCCTATTTAATTTTATTATTTCATTATTAAAATCTGTTAATAATCACAATTCTTGATATTTCATGACAATTTTACATATCTTTAAAATTAAAAAATAGTAAAATTTAATTCCAAGGTATAAACTATCTACCGCAAAAAAATTTCATTTTTTCAAGTAGGCCAAAACTGCTTATACGTTTGTAATTTCTTAACAATATTGTTAAGAAAGATCTTATTTTTAAATCCAGATTTCTCAATGTTTTTTTTATGTAATTGCATTGCTTAAAATTATTTTAGATTATTTATAGTCTAAATAACCATATAATCATTTATTTATACTTTATCGAGTTAAAATTAATTTAAAAATAGCGGATGTCAATGATGGGGACACAAAAATTAACTTGCGTCAACTAACGACACAGGCCATAATGTAAGGTAACCAACCCCCTCAACATACATATCAACGTATTAATGTTTACATACTGTCGTGTGATTTTATAAGAATCAAAGTATTTGAGATTAGAAAAAATTGCTAAAAAATACCTGGTAAAGAATATAGAAAAGCTAGGTCTTAAACGAATTTTAAAATAATAAAAATTATTGATAGTTTTGCATTAGTTAGGAAAAATGATTATTGTTAATATAAATTTAACTGTAATAAACGACCTGTCAATAATAGGGTCAATGGTATGTCAATAATCAGCTCTTTGAATTTTTTGCGCTGTCAATAATACATACATTCGACCTGTTGGTTTTAAGTTGATAAAATAATTATTAAATTTATTGCTATTAAAGTTAATTAAGGTGTCCTATAAAAAAAAAGTTGACAATATTGATTTGAAACACAATAAAAAAAATTCAAATATTCATAATCACTCTTATGGTGTCAATAATGGGAGCTGTTACATTACAAGAAAATTTACGTTCCCTGGAAGTCGAACCCTGAACCTTTGAAAATTTTTTGTTGAATTTAAATACCCAGATTTTAGAATTCTAACTACGAGAACCGTAGCCACCTAGCGGAGAGTTCTTGAACTAACTTTTTGTCCAATTTAATTTTTATGTTAAATCATTGAAATTGTTTTTTAACGTACTGATAGAAGAATTTATTAACTATTAATTAATCCAATCATTTAACAACAACTTGTTGAAGATCATTTACAAACAAATAAAGTTATAATGGAGTAAATACTTTCAAGGTATTATACTTCAATAAAATTTAAGAACCCAGTTTTTTTATAGATTTTTTTATAGACATTTTGATGACTTGAAAATTGTGAGTAATGACAAGTTATTTTTTACTGCAAGCTACTATTGTTGTAATGTTAAGTTGCAATAACCTATTATTAATTTTACAATAGCCTCTCATAGCAATTGCTTGCGATCATGACATTCAATACGCCAGTGATTGTGACAGTGACAATGACAATGACTGGAATGATTCCAATGAAAAGTGTCATGAATTTATCATTGCTGATAAGTGTGATGATTTTGGTGAATTTGGACAAGTGTCAGGGCTATCGAATTCTCGGGATTTTCCCCATGAACGCCAAAAGTCACATGGTAATGTTTGAGCAAATAATGAAAGGGCTTGCGAGAAGCGGCCATCAAGTTGATGTCGTAAGTGTTTTTCCGCTTCGTAGGCCCTATCCGAATTATACTGACTTGGAAATTCGGGCCGCGATGCCCAAATTGGTCAACAATATGACCCATGAATTTTTGAATGATATTCTTCAGCTGAATATTGTCCAGTTTTTGGCTGTGAATTACGGAAATTTTATTTGTGAAAAAGGCTTTGAGCAAGAACCTTTGAGAAAGATTGTTGAGCAACCGAATAAAAATCCGCCGTATGATCTCGTTATTACGGAGGTAAGTTTTGTAAAAAAGTTTGCTATCGTGATGGGAATTTTCAATCAATTTAAAACAATAAAAGAAAAATTAATTTAATACTAGAGAAGAATTCTTGAAATAAAAAATAACTCTCAAAGATAAATTTAATGAAATATTATTTTTGGTCTGAAATAATTGAACTAAAATGTAACAGTAATAAAAATTTTAAAAGTAGATTATTTTTATTAACAGACACTTAAAAATTGAATATATATATAATTTTAAACAATGCGATAAAAATGAAATTACACTGAAAAAAAAGTTTTTTTCCCACCCAGAATACAAAGTATATTTATCCAAGTTTTTTTATATCCAATATACGTTTTCTTAATATAAAAAAAATTAGGAAAACGGTTGACCCTGAAAGCCATCCCTGCAACTTCCCGCCAATTCTATACCTAAACGCTTGAAATTGCACTTGTGACGTTTTAGAGCTCTTCGAGCTCATAAATACAATTTCTGTATTATTTTGAGCTCTCCGAGCTCAAAAAAATAGCTTTTGTATGCTTTTGAGCTCTTCGAGCTCAAAAGTTTGATAGAAGTTTGATAAAACACTATTTTTTTAATTTTCAAATCGCAATAACTTTTGAATGAATTAACCGATTTTGACCAGACTGGCGGCGATCGACGTGGTTTTTTGATGTTAAGAGCTGATTAGTTTTTGAAATCGATCGGTAAAGCCGTTTAAAAGTTATTCCAAAAAAACCACTTTTTAAAAAATTTTTTTTGTAGTTTTTTTGCGATTTCTCAAAATCTACTAAATCGGTCAAGCGGTTCACACACACACACACACACACACACACACACACACACACACACACTCGATTTTTGCAAAACGGGGTGAAAACAATAACTTCCCGATTTTTGAAAATCTTCGATTTTCTTAGCGTGAAGTTAAAAATAGTTAATAAGAAAAACTTTATTATAAAATGTGATTGATAAGCAGCTATGATATTTCCCGATTAATGCTGAGTCAATCATAGATAAATATAAACCTAAACAGCCTTATAAAAATTGATCTGCAGTATCATTCCAATGACTTGCGAATACAAGTGATAAAACATCCAACATAATCTTCTTAAGCTCAAGCTTGCTTATAAATTACAATGCATTTATTTCGCTCATCAAATTTAATATTAATTCAGTTATCCGAGATCGCGAGTGTTAGAATATTGAGACATTTCTCATCCAACATCTAGTTCCAAGTTTCCAAAAATGAAGCTCTTGCTTTTCGCCTTTTCAATCTTGATCGTGCAATGCGAACCGCTTCGAATTTTGGGATTTTTCCCTTTGAATGCCAGGAGCCACATGATGTTCCACGAGCAAGTGTCCAAGGGGTTAGCTCGTCGTGGTCACCAGGTTGACGTTGTCAGTACGTTTCCTCAAAAACGTCCTTACCCAAACTACACGGATTTGGAGATTCCTGCAGCGATGCCTCAGTTTGTCAACAACATGACCTACGAGTTCAAGAAGACTCAATTCGAAGACAGGAACATCATGAACTTCTTTACCGAAGATGCTGGGAACCTTGTTTGTGAAAAAGCCTTTCAGCGTTCTCAAGTTCTGAGTTTAGTCTCTGGGGCACATAGTCCGCCTTATGATCTCGTTTTAGTTGAGGTAAGTCTTTGAAAGCACTAGAATTTGATCCCGCGATTCGTCAACCAAGTGAGTGATTAGCTAATCATTGGAGTGGTAATCAAACCATCATGTTTCAAAATTTTTATCCAAAGATTGACAAGATACTTAGAGGTCTTATCCAAGATCTCGTTCCAAATCTCCAAAAATCAAGCACTTGTTTCTTGTTCTCTAAATCTTAATTGTGCAGTTCAAGCCTCTTCATTTCCAATGATTGGACTACTTTCCATATCGCGCAATGCATAGTCAATCACCCTGATAACTATCCTCGTTCAAAAACATGACATTAGTTGCCCAGCGTTAACAGTAGTGATAATTACCAGTTTGAAAATCATGAAAAATATATTGATACTCCTTGCAGTTTTGACAAACTGTCATGGCTACAGAATTTTGGGATTGTTCCCCTTGAACGCCAAAAGCCACATGATGCTCAATGAACAAACGTGCAAGGGATTAGCTCGTCGTGGGCACCAGGTTGATGTTGTCAGTACGTTTCCCCTAAAACGTCCGTATCCAAATTACACTGACTTGGAGGTTCCTTCAGCATTGCCAAAGTTTGTTAACAACATGACCTACGATTTCAAAAAAACTAAGTATCACGACAGGAATATGGTTAGATTCTTCGCTGAAGATACTGGGAACCTGGTTTGTGAGAAAGCGTTCCAGCTTCCACAAATTATGAATTTGGTCACTGGTACACACAATCCGCCTTATGATCTTGTTCTAGTTTCGGTGAGTTTTTCAAGCAAACCAAGTGAGTGATTGATTAATCATTGGGGTGGTAATAAAAACCTATGAAGTATATTATAAGAAAATTCTATCTTTTGCGGCGCTGCGCTGTAGAATTAACAAAAATTTTTATGTGATAATAATTTATTCGTAAAAATTGTCAGATATCTGTTGATTTTAGACACATAAGTAATTTGATGCACCGCCCTATTCAATTTTTTCGCGGCACTACTTGATTAAAGTTATTTCTTGGTTCCACCGCTAGGTGGCTACACTTTCTCGCTAGCAGAGTAATTTTGCCAGAGTATATATAAGGGCCAAATTATTTTTTTTAATCATTCAAGTGAGTGGTAAGTTAATTATTGATAAAAAATTTATCCGATCATGAAAAATCAACGCTATTTGTTAAAGTTTCATCCAAAATAACACACGATAAACATATTATTATATTCAACTTGAAGAAAAAAAATTCATACTTTTTTTGCACCACTCAACTAATCATAAAATTTACAAATTTTGCTATCACTTGTGGAATACATTATCATACCTTATAGATCGAATTTAAATAACACATAAATATTCAATCGCCAACAGATACCCCTTCATCCAATATTCATTTTCAATATAGACTTCTAATGTCTTCACTTTGTCTTTGAACTCGAGTCTTTAAAAAAGTGTCTGATCAAAATTATGAAGTGGATATTATACTACATGTTGATTGTGCTTTTGGGCAAGCAAAGTCACAGTTACCGAATTTTGGCAGTATTACCCTTCCCCGGTCTAAGCCACATGCAGTTTCACTTGCAAATGTGCAAGGGGCTAGCTCGTTATGGTCACCAAATCGACGTCGTCAGTTTTTTTCCTCAAAAGAAGCCATATCCAAATTATACCGACTTAGTCATTCCAATATCGCTGCCCAAACTGGTCAATAACATGACATACGAGTTTTTCCAAGAGAATTTCAGAAACCAAGACCAGGTCTATTACTACGTTGATTCCCTCGGGAATGCTCTGTGCCAAGGGCTGGAGACGGAGGTAGTAAAAGAGCTTATTAGTAAACCAC